TACAGTAACTAAACCAGCTCGATTAGCAGCTAAAATATGATTATGTAGTATATCAAATGCTATTGTTTGACATCCGCCTTCACCATCAATCGATGCTATTTGTGATCCACAAACATGTGTTAATGTATCAACAACAAATAATTGACCATGAATACAACCAACCCAAAGTTTATCACGTGTATCAAGACACATACATGTTATTAATGATGGAAATAATATATCACTTGGATCACATATCCATGTTGTTACATTAAATACTTTAAGTTTTGAACCATATGCACACCAAAGTGATGAACGTCCATGATCAGGATGTTCAGTAAATATAAGACAATGTATAGCATGACGTTCAGTTTCATTTATTGATGGTGATAAACGACGAGTAAGAACATTTCGTGTTTCAACAGATAAGGATTTAAATGAACCATCTTGACGCATTCGTGTAAATGTTGATAAATCATTTAAAGCCATTTCAAGACTTGCCTATAAGAAAACAAAAGAAAACTAGGATCAATTCGGTATTTTGTTTATGCAAAACATATGAAAAAAACTGTTAGCGCAATCACAATGGGATTCAAATGTGAAACACAATACACTAGCTGCTGTTGCTAATCATAGGAAGATTGTAGTGTGCTATCTATTTTTTGAGACTTGTTTCTTCACTATCCTTTTACTTAATTCTCAATAAATGTAATAAGGAAGTAGTTTATTTATTATAACGAGATGTTATTCATATACGGTCTTTGATTGTACATCAACAACATTTATCAAAGCCTATAATGCGGGATGAGTGTTGCGCTAACGAAGGAACTATCCCAAGTGACATCCGAAGTTTGAGCTTATATTGGACCTGCAAGCAGGTCTCAGTGAGAATAGCAAAAGCTTAAAAGAGTTCATCCTCATTGATCTTTGGCGCCGAGTTATGACTGATTTCTTGAATTTTTTGAACAATTTTTAGGTACTATCCAAAAGAGCGGATAACGGGATTTTGATCCAACATTTTGCCTATAGATAAGCCAGTCTAATGACTTTTAAAATATCCTGAGAGTGTTAGCTGAAAAGAATGTTCCGTCGTCGAGTTATTGAATTTGCCAGTAAACTTGATTTTTGTGATATGTCTGTGGCAAAGAGTTATTTTTAGAAATTCAATATCTGGATGAAGCAACATTCTTTTCGACTAAACCTTTAAAAAATATTATTAGAATCATTAGATCTATATATAGGCAAAATTTTAGATCGAAATTTTGTCATTTGATTTTTTGAGAACTATCTACAAATGAAACGAAAATCCACTATGCCGACCATAACTCGGCAACAAAAGCACATGAGAGCCAATCTTTTTGAGCTTTTACTAGTCTTACGGAGACCTGGCTGTGAATTCAATATGAGCTTATACAGCAGTTGTCACTTGCGATAGTTTCCTTGTAAGATATTTGTCACGGTCTGTGGGGGAATGCAATTTTCTGTTTCACAAAAAAAGTTATGATTATAAAATATAAGTTGAACTCTCATTATTTCA